ACATTACATAATTGTATACATGTACTTATGTGAACAATTATAACATAAAGTGTAAAGGTATCTTTAAAAAGTTTGTAAACGATTGAATCATGTTAATCAGATGTTAAATGTGTTCTGTGAATGTTTATGACACCAGAGATAAATCTCATGTCAACAGTCGACATTTTCCTAAGAACATTTGATGCTTTCAACATCTGGCAAAGAGAATATACTCTTTGTGTAAAAGTTCAGGATGTTTGAAATGAACTGAGGATTTCACTGAGAGACCTGAAGGAGCTTTCATGGTCAGTGAAATAGAAGCGTCTGATAGTTTGACTTTAAATGTCTGAGTATATATTTTCTCTAAAAACTACAAGAAAAGTTTTTCACTGCTGTTTTATTTGGATTAAAGTGTGTGTGTGTGTGTGTGTGTGTGTGTGTGTGTGTGTTGTAGTACAAGACATGCACAAGATGCAACATCTCTCTTCCTGTTGTTCTTCCATCCCAGCTGCTGCTCAGAGAGCATCTCTAGCATTTCAGGGTTTTTATTTTACAGTACGAGTAAGTAATTGCCTTGAAATGGCCGGTTTCTCATTAGTTGTTAGAAACAGCTTCTTTCTGTCACCTCAAAATATCCACAATATTTACACAAACTTTCTGTTTGAAAGTATGAAGAATTTTACAATTGGTGCTGTTTTCAGTGGACTGGTTTTTGTATACTTTTGTTTTCTCTTTTTTTCTTCAAACAGTAAAGTGGCCGTTGGTACTCCTGAAGCTGGCTCATTAATAATATCTGAAGAAACATTGTATATGAATCAGGGCAGATTTTTGTCAACTGCATAAATCTTTGGAAACTTAAAGCATCCCACCAGTGATGCGACTCGATCAGAGTGGTTGATTGAATGAAAGAAACAACTGGATAGTTAATATTCAACATATCGACATCATTAACGTCATTAACCTTGGAACAGAAGCTTTTGTACTTGTTCTAATAATGTAAACTTTAAATATGTGTTTGCAGTTTCAGTTATAGATAAAAATGAGAATTATATGGCCAGTTATCGAGATGGGGAACCGTTAGTTGGGCTTTTTTTTTTAGCAAATGCTGTAGCAAACGGATGTTTCCGTCTGGTCATATTTTCAAGGGGAAACTGTTTAGTAACAATGGTAACAAAGTGTTTACAACAAAGTCAGTCATGTCACTTGATTTCTTCCATGTTTCTGGGAAAAGCAAAATATAGAGCACTCATACAAAATGTTATATTGTGGTCTTTTAGTTCTCCCTGCTGACATCTTCAGTTTCTGTCTCTCTTCTATCTGTGATTTTTGTTGTTGTTCGTGCTCCGTGTTGGCCTTTGCTCTACACACCTGAGGAAATCACCCATCTGTCTCACATGATCTTATCAGCTTAAGGTAGTGGCTGGCACCTGAAGTCATTTGCTGGCCTTTATGGTTTGAGGAAACTTACTGTGTGTTTTTCCCTGTGTACAGACTCCAGACAGAGTGTACTGACCTGAAGAGAGGTGGGTGTTATGGATGCCTGTTCCCTTTAAGAACCCTGGATCCCCATTAGTTTCGGATTATATCTTAAAATCTTTTCCAACGACTACTTTGAACTTTTAAAAAATGATTCAGAGCTCAAATGAAGCTGTTTGGTATGACACACAAACCTGCAGAACTGTAATGGGTTTCCACCAGTAGGTGGTGCTGTAGAAACACCAGAGACAAGCAGATTAAACTGTTCAAATTTTTTTTTTTTTAAAAATCCTACAACATGGCATGCTCTACTGCTGTCCTCCGTGTATATTTCCCCAGTCCTGTTTGTGTTTGATCCCCCACCCCCTCACAAGGACAGAGGAAGACCTTTGAAAAAGCTTATCTGTTAACAGCACTACAGAGGTTCCTTAAGGTTACTTGGTTACTTGCTAATGCAAGCTCTGTTTTAGCAAATGCACAGATTGTAACTAATTTCCAACCATTTCTTGTTTGGCCCTCTGAGCTCACAGAGAGTATAAAAACATCTGTCGCAGCCTGTAAGCAAAACATAGCTTTTAAACGAAATTGTCACGGCTTGCTTGCAGACCGTGTGTGTGAGTCCGTGTGTGTGAGTGAGGACACGGAGGAGGAGACAAAACTGAGTTTAAACGAAAAGCAAGCTTTTATTATGGCTGATGTCATTGAGTCCAAACAAGGCAAAATGCACATTGGCAAAACAGAACTAGAACTAAACTGGGAAAACTAATACTGTGATACAACAATGAAAACTCAG